ATCCGAGGCTGTTTGGAGGAAGGGAGCATCAAGGCGAGCTACATCAACACCAAGGACCAGCTTGCGGACCTGCTCACAAAGCCCCTTGGGAGGATCAAGTTCCTTGAGCTCTGCTCCAGGACCGGGATGGTTCAACTTTCCCACAAGACAACGCACAAGACTTAGGGGGAGAAAATAATGATGGATAAGTCTGGCTGCTGTGGTCTTTGTGGGGCTGCTGGTTGTTGCTGCCACAAGGACAGCATCTTAGAGGACAACATCTTAGCATCTTAGACTAGCATCTTAGCATCTTAGACTAGCATCTTGACATATGCTTGGTTGGCTAGCAGCCTATAAATATGTATCCCCAACCCCTCAAGTTGGTATGGCATTTTGTGTGAGTTTGTGTGAGAAATAAACCAGAAAATTGCTCCAACTCATAATGTCATCCTCTCTCGATGAGAGTAAGAATTCTGCTACTACCGAGAGTGAGAGTTCAACGACTAACATTTGGCTGTGCTTGTTATCCTAACCCGCCACTGCCCCTCACAAACTTTCCCCTCGCTCCACCCTTTGTGTTTTCCTGGGTTATTCTTCTAATCATAAGGGATTTCGGTGTCTTGACCTCTCCTCCAACCGCATCATCATCTCTCGTCATGTTACCTTTGATGAGACAAATTTTCCCTTTACCAAGACACCGTCACCCCCCACCACTAATGATTTTAATTTTTTGGAGGAGTTTGAGCCCTCGGTGTGCCTTCCAGGCCTCCCTGCTGGCTCCTCCCCTTCAGGTACCTTCGGTGGAGTCAACCCTGGTTCACTCGGTGTCTCGCCATTTGCCACCTGTGACTCTGTCACATCAGTCTTTGGTTGAGCCTGCTGACTGGCAGTCCTTATTAGCCCTTCCTGTGCCACGTGCAGCCTCGGCTCCCTCGGCGGAACATCACAACGCCCTTGCTGCTGCTCCTGCTCCACCGGCTCCCCCTGTTGTGCCCCCTGCACGCACCATCACTCATGTCTACACCCGGCGTCACCCAACTCATGTTCCTCCGATTCTTCTTGCTGATTACGAGGGTCACAAGGTACTCCAGCTCACTCGCAGATTCGGGCTGTCTGTCACAAGTTACTCCGGTCTTTGCTGCTAATTGAGGTGACACATGGTCCTTGGTTCTGCTTGCTCTGTTACATTGCCCTAGGGTGTTGTTCGATTCATCAAGTGGTGAATCATCACTCCATGACCACTAGAGGAAACTTGGCTTCCGTCACCGCCATCTATCATGTTGCAACCATCTCTCCCATTCAAGACTTATCGGAGTGCTCTTCTTGATCCTAATTGGCGAATCGCAATGGAACAAGAGTGTGGCTCTTCTCGTCCAATAACACATGGGATCTCGTTCCTCCGACCGTCGGTGCAAATGTGGTAGTGGCGGCAAGTGGATTTTTAAATCGGAAGTTCAATCTTCGATGGCTCCTTTGATCGCTACAAGGCTCGGTGGGTTCTCCGTGGTTTTACCCAACGTCCGAGTGGATTATGATGAGACCTTTAGTCCTGTGGTGAAACCAACAGCAGTCCGCCACAGATCCTCTCTTTGGCTCTCTCACACACAGTGGCTTATTCATCAACTGGATGTCAAGAATGCCTTCCTCCATGGCACCCTCTCCGAGACCTGTCTATTCTGCGCCAACCCATCGGATTTATTGACACCGCTCTTCCGATCATGTTTGCCGCCTCAACAAGTCTCTATATGGTGCAAGCAGGCACCTCGGCGCTTGGTACGGCCGGTTTGCCACCTACCTCTTATCTCTCGGGTTTGTTGAAGCAAAGTCGACACATCTCTGTTCATTTACCACCGAGGCAATGAGATTTTTACCTACTACTCTATGTGGATGACACATTTTCGACCGCCTCCAATGCCTCTCTCCTCCGCCGCACTATCACCGCCTTGCAACAAGAATTCTCCATGAAAGACCTTGGTCCTTTGCATCACTTTTTGGGCATTTCAGTCACGCAACATTCAGGTGGTCTCTTCCTATCAGCAATACACCATTGACATCCTCAAACATCTTTGGTATGATGGATTGCAAACCGTGTAGCACGCCTTTGTGGACACTCATGCTAAAGTTTTCGCTCATGAAGGTGCTCCTATCATCGATCCTACTCACTATCGCATGATCTTTACAGAGCCTGCAGTACCTTACTTTCACAAGACCGGACATTGCTTATCTTTGTTCAACAAGTATGCCTTCACATGCATGATCCTCCGAACCTCACTTGTCTGTTTGTTAAGAGGATTCTCCGCTATCTTGAGGGAACTCTCACCATGGCTGCACCTTCACCCTCCACTCCTTCCGAACTTGTGGTCTATATCTTGATGCCGATTAAATTTGGGTGTCCCGACACTCGCCGCTCCACTTCAGGCTATCTTTGTGTTTCTTGGCGCCAATCTGGTTTCTTGGTCTTCAAAACGCCAAAACACAGTCTCTCGTTCAAGTGTAGAAGCTTAATACCGGGTTTGTGGCCAATGGAGTTCTTTGAAACTTGCTAGCTCCGCCAACTTCTCACAGAATTGCATGCTCCATCGCCTCGGAGCACACCTGGTCTTCTGCGACAATGTCGGTCACGAGTATACTTGTCCACCAATCCCATACAACATCAACGCATGAAGCATGTTGAGATTGATGTCCACTTCGTTCGTGAACGGGTCGCCATTGGTGATGTTCGGGTTCTTCATGTACCAACGACGTCCCAGTTTGCTAACATCTTCACCAAGGGTCTTCCGACCTCCGTGTTCCAAGATTTTCGCTCCGGTCTTCATATCGTGAGCTCGCCGATTCGATCATGGGGGGTGTTAGCATGTTTACTACTTCCTTTATTACTAGTGACGCCTAGGAACCTCCCCAGTTGTCACCTACTCACCTCCCCTCTTTATTGCTAGTATTTATTTCTCCTTTTCTTTCGCTAGGCGGTGATGCTCGAATCTTCCGGTCGTCGCTGTGTGCTTCCCCCTCTCTTGTGTTAGTCTAGCTCCTATATAAATCCTCGTAATTTGGTTTACTCAACATGTATGAATACAAGAGCTAGTTCATCCTCTATCGATAATGTAGGTAGTGATTTCCTCGTTTGTTATCCCTCTGTATTTATCTCCAACGACATCTACATTATTTAGGATTAGTCTTCCTTTTATGTTCTCATATCATCTCCTTTGTTCTCGTTATTACCATTATTCTTTTTGGCCTAAGAATTAGATTGACACAGTCGAGGTTAGAGACCAAGGATAGTTAAATTTTTACGCCTTTTTCGTGTAATATTCAAAGTGTCTTTTTTTGTTTTTAGTTATATTTTGCATCCTAAAATAAATGTTTATTTGGTTATCTACGCTCTTATTGTGTATGTATTTCATCATGTATAATTGTCGTCATCTTGAACCCCCACCCCCACCCCGAACATTCAAATCCTAGCTCTTGCCTTTCATTGGCACGACACACCGCTAGTCCATTAACCATCGTGTCAAAGCGAGCAAGCGATGTGAACCATTTGGTTATGGATCGGTTGGGTTCCTTGCCCCTCGTCAGTACATCCAAAACCTCGTGAACTCACTCCAATGAGCTATGCGGGCTCAGATTTGGTTGTACAATATAAAATTTCCCACTAGCAAATCCTATACAGCAATATTTATCGATTTCCATCCTAGCTATTTTGTTCTTCTCTGTTGATTTGTTTCATCGGAAAATTGAATACTAGCAAATGAATTTGAATAATAGCTATTTTATTCTTCTCTCCGGTTGATTTCCATCCTAGCTATTTGAAAATGGAGCCAAGGCTTCATGGTTGCCATTTGTTCTTAGAATTTACGTGCATTAGATCGATTGGATGTTAGAGAGCTAAAAGGAAGCTCGGTGACCTTGATATCCTCGATGTCCGAGGCGTCGGCTGCATATTTTTTACAACAATCCTGGAGGAAGATGCCCACATCCATGAGAATCATCGAGACATGTACAAGGCCCAACCCGTGATATCAGGCTGGCCAGGTCTAGGAAGAGGAAGCACCAGGTCAGCCTAAGAGAGAGACAAGGGTACAAGGCCCAACCCGTGATATCTGGGTTTATTCCAAGTGGGTCAGGAAATCAAGGATACTGTGAGGACATAGCAAATATGCTTGTGTTGTGCATCGCTACGGATGAAGAGCATATGGAATTGATCATGTCTTAATCTTCTTATTTATATTTACTTTTTGGATAATGAAAATGAAAAAATACCCTGTCATGAATGAAAGTTCACAGTAAGTTCAGGACATGCTTACATGGTTATAGATGACATATTTGTTCTTTTCCCAATTTTCACATAACAAACAGATCTAGTGCATTGTACTGATGTTCCGTGTAAGTTTCTCAAAAATTTAATCACGTGTTTTGCTGCATTTGATACATTTGTGTTTCTAATGTTGGGTTTTACTCCCTGATTCAATTCACTTACTGCTGAAGTGCTGATTATAGTTCTAGAGACAAATCATAATGATCTGAACCAGCCAGTACAACAAATTTACTCTCTCCTAGACAGAAGTAAAATTACAGCCTGGATCCTGTGGAAACTTTCCAGGCTAGATTATCAAACTAGAATCCAGAACTTCAAGGAATAAATGCAGGCACTATAGCTGGATAACGTCAAGGTTATTTTTCACTTTTTCAGCATCTCTGCACTTAGATGCATACACAGCAATAAAATCACCACTGGGTACCTCAAAGATGGTGCTGTACCGCTGCGCCCTAAAAGTTTTCTAGTAGACACTGAATTCAAATGACAAAAACATGTTACTTTCAAACTGTCTTAAACAAGCAAACCAATATAAGAACCCACCAAATAAGTTGGAAGTGATAAAGGGTCATTAGGCAATTTCCTTTCTACTGACAACCCAGTAACAAATGGCCCAGGCAAGGCAATGTTTGCACATGAAAAGATACTTCACCGAACATGCCCAGATATGTTAAGTAATCAAATCTGAGGATGTCAGGAATCAACTTACCGGGCACAACTTCTTCACGTTCTGTGCTGCTTTCCTCAAATTGTCAAGGGTCTCATGGTGGTACGCGGCGTCCATCCATGAGAAATCAAACCGTGCAACTGCAAAAGAAAACATACACATGTCACCATTACTATTAAGATTAGCTAACATTAATTAATAACCAACAATATCAGAGTTAATCTCATTTCAAATAAATGAAGATAGCCAATAAACTTGTTGAACTCAAACCTGACATTCCAGCAGTGAGGCATTCCTGAATAACCTCAACCGAGTGTGACTTGGGCCCGAGCGTCCCAACAATCTTGGTGAGGGATGGGAATACTTTCTGCACAGGTACACACGACAAATGAATCAGCTGGTCAACGTCGTTAATCCTCAAGACAAAGTCAAATCAAGGTTCCATTACAAGTGATCGCCCAAATTAACGCGTATTGAATAATCCCGATTTGACATCTGACACCATTCCAACAAATCCACGCCGCCACAAATAAACCCCATTGCGAGTGCGCACTAATCACAAGCATCACTCAAAGATTGGACGGCCCCCAAATTCGGCAAACCCGGCACACACTACCCGCCCGCCTCTCCGCGCACCAAATCGAATCCAGCCAACTGACCGACCAAACCAAACAGACTACTCGCCACATCCACACGAAGCGGCTCGAGCAGACCACCGTGCACCGTGCCGCACGCGCAGATGCACACGGGGCGCATAAAGCGCGAGATCCATCAGGGGCGGGGAAATACAGAGAGAAATGGAGGCGGCGGCGGCGGCGCTTACGGGCTTGGCGGGGGACAGGACGGAGGCGAGGCGGACGGGCTCCTCCAGGAGCATGTGGCTGGCACCCAGCATCTCCCTCCTCCTCCTTGCAGAAACCTTCCCCTTAGGGTTTTTGCCGGCTCCGAGTCTCCGATGCGATCGCCTCCGCGGCTCGAGCAAGACGATGACAAGGACCAGAGAGAATCAGAGAAAGGAGAGAGGAGCGGGCGAGTCGTGGGGAGAAAGAAAGAAACCAAGCGAACACGTGGCGGTTCGATTTGCTTTTATTTCGTTTTGAATCCCTCGACGGTTTGAAGCGACAAAGCCTGGTTTGGGGTGACTGGTTCGAGGGCCCCACTGGTTTCATGCCTTGCGGCGTCTCACCGGTGTGTGGGGTCTTCGATCTGGTCCGGCCCACCGTCAGGTGGTTCGAGTGGTGGGGTTTGCGTGTCGAGCGTGCGAAAAGTTCATGGGCTGGTCAGCTAGGGCCATCCAGGCGACGGATGCGCGCCGCGTAGCGTTGAACGGCCGGATGACGGAGAGCTGCTGATGGCGCGCGAAAAGCCGTGCGGCGGGTGCAGTGCAGCGGTGGACAAGTGATTGCCTCATTGGTGCGGGACTGCGGGTGCCGTGTGGGGAACTGGGATACCGTCAGCTCTTCCTGTCGTGTCGTGTGGGCCCACCCGGACGAAAACGACTTCAAAAGTTCAAAGTTGTGCTCGTCATGTTTTTTTTTAATCACAGTCCAGACATAGCAACGATCACATGCATATTCTAAAAACTAAATCCATCACATATATACAGGTACCCTCATTTTTCTTAGTAACCTATTTTTAGTTTGATCAAATTGATTTAAAAAAGAATTAACATTTAAGAATTGTTTTCCATGTATTTATGGTGGATGTAATGCTATTTGTTTAGTATAGCATAAATATACATTTTTTTATAAATTTAGTTAAATTTTAGATAGCTTAATTTTAAGAGTCTGTTCAGTGATGATATGGCTATGGTTTTAACAGTGTAACTCCAGTGCTGCTCTAGTTATTTTTTCAAAATTATATAACTTTTACTTAATTTCTAAAAAAAATGCATTAACGTCTACACCATCAATCAGCTTAATTAAATCTATCATAAAATATGTCTTGATTGTGCATTTGTTTGGTTGTCAAAATTAGAGACATTTGACTTAGAATAAAACGAAAAATACCTTATATTACATTGAACAGAAGTGAGCGAAGTTTGATTTAATTTAGAAAGGAGCCAGTACATTTGAGTAAAAAAACATACTTAGCCATCTATATCTATATCTATTCCTATATCTATATTCTACATTATATATTCTATTCTATATTTTTGTATCTATATCTATATCTATCTTATAATCCTAAACCTCACTACAATTCTATCTCGACATAGCATATACAATCATTATATTTATCTATTTATGCAAGCAATCTACATTATCATACCTCATCATCCACTAAAATTCACTTGTGATTCCCGCAACATTGCGTAGGGTTTGCTCCTAAACCTTACTACAACTCTATCTCGACATAGCATATACAATTATGAAATTTATCTATTTATGCAAGCAATCTATGTTATCATACCACATCATCAAGTAAAATTCACTCGTGATTCCCGCAGCATCGCGCGGGGTATGTTTCTAGTTTTGGATAAAGAAATGATCAAAGATCCCAGTGAAACCATTTCATGTATAATGTAGTGATTCGTAGCATTGTTTTGAAGTTACATTCAAAAAAGATAGTTGTTTTGACTTTAGATAAACATTTTAAAGACACCGACCCTATGGAAAACCCCCAACAGAATCGTTTGGAATCAAGAAGTTGTTACGATCTACCTTGCTGAAGACGGAAGTTGAGGATGCTAGCAAGAATTTGTGGATAGAGGATAGGACACGGCAGAGTCCGCAGGGAAGAAGACGGTGTCTATTCAGAGAAGTGTCTGTTCATCTGTCCAATAATGCCGTCATCTAGCTTGGGACATGGCTTATAAACTATCGTTATCTCTATTTTTTTAGCTAGCTAACAATTAACTCCTGCATTCAAATAGGCTCCTACACTGACTGATATCGGCTTTACTGGTTTTATTTGGTTTGTGGTCTAAGTTTATCCTAGCTAGATTTGGTTATGATTAGTTGGCTGACTTGCATTGTGGCGAGTATAACACTTGCCAAACAATCGACAGACGACATAGGTGTTCGACAAGATCGCCTCAAACTGATGAAGGACATAGCATCAAGATATAAATGGTCAGTGGTGACGCTGCAGCGAACTAGTCTACTATAAGTATGGCTAATAATATAGACTGTTGCTAACTATCGATCCATCCATACACTGTAACATATTTTATCATTAATATATGGTTTACTTTTTTCTCTTTTTGAAGTTCGTGCATCAACCGGTTGTAAACTTATAATTCACTTCTCTTCTCTCTCCTCAATCATCATAGAACCCACTTACAACTTTTTACTATACTTTCATGTTATTTTCTAAGATCATAGCCCATGCTCTGGTTGATGGACTAGTGTATCTCTAATATAATATTCTAGAGCAAAATGTTTCTTTATCTTTCATCGCTCACAACCATCTAATAGTGATCTGACGGACTCAATATCTCCTGTGTCTGTATAAGTTAGAGTAGTGTGCCCAAGCACGATGTAGAGTCCAATTCGAAAAATGAGTTGGAATACAAAGTGTTTTTATGATCCACCACTTTCTCTCATGTACGTTCAAGTTAAGTGTTCAGGCATAGTCTGATCCTAAAACAAATTGAAACACATGACACACGATCATTGGTAAATCTCTAAGCCTTAGAGCAGCGCATGTCCAAGCAAAAGGTTTGATTCACATATGAATTGACAGATCGCTGGTTGTCCAAGTACAACAATTGCAACGTACGGGTATATAGTATACTAATTGGAACTTCTGAACACCTTAATTTAATTCCAAAGCGTCACAGAAAATAGATCCTAATTCTAAAAATATAATCCTGACTTCATTTTCAATGCCTCAATGAAACATTATTACCAGAATAGAAAACAATACAAGGGACAGTGATGGTCTCACACACTCACACCACAACACCTGACGCTTTTGTTTGAAATTGTTTTTTTTACTTTGCCAAAATTAGAGACGTTTGACTTAGAAAAAAAAACTTAGAGTATTATGTAGAACAAAAGTTAGCGAAGCTTGATTTAAGAAGATCAATAATTTACAACAGAACCAGTACATTTGAGTCCAAACGATTCATAGTTGGCCATTTCGGATAAAGAAATAGCCAAAAATTACAGTGGAACCATTTCATGTACAAACAGCCTGTTCGGGAGGCCGTATCGTATCGTGGATTATTTACTGCTGACTGATTTGGTGTGAGAGAAAAACACGGTTCCCGACTAGAAATTTACGATCGTTTACGACCAAGCGAACGAGCCGTGACCACTGGCCACTGAGAACTGTTTTAAAGAAGCCCTACAGAAGTTCGTTGGATGGGACAGCGCCTTCTGACGTGACGGACGAGCCCTATCCTTTGCCAAATAACGATATCATCTTCAATCATGAAACTGATTCGTAGAATTATTTTGAACTTAATTATATTCAAAAAAAGATAATCGCGTTGACTTTAGCAAAAACTTTCTTAAAGACACGTACCCTATAGAAAAACCCCAACAGAATCGTTTGGAATCAAGAAATGGCTTCTGAAAATTCCTTGGAAATTCGTCTTGATGTACACTGCACAGCGAACACCAACCTCCGTTTTGTACTTTTACTGCAGGTTGGTCAATAAATTCTGCTCAATATCAAATAGAATAGTTCAGGAGGTTCAATAGTTCTAGCATCCGTGCTGTCCTCATCGATCTGCCTCCCTCGTGCCAAGGCGCGGCCAACATGAAGCACGGCATGCTGCTCCAGCTAGCACTACTCATCTCTCTGTCGCTCGCCGGCGACGTCTTCGGCGGCGGAAGCGCCCCGACGAGCACGCACCTCCGGTTCTACATGCACGACCTCGTGACGCCATATCTGGGGGCTCCGGCGACGGCGGTACGCGTGGCCAGGGGCAAGACGCCGCTGCCGAAGGCCCCGAAGAGGTTCGGGACATGTTGGTCATCGACGACCCGCTGACGGAAGGGCCCGACGCGGCGTCCCGCGCCGTGGGGCGCGCGCAGGGGTTCTACCTGTTCGCGTCGCAGACGGAGCTGGCGCTGCTGCTCTGCTTCCACATGGTGTTCACGGCGGGGCCTCACAACGGCAGCACGGTCGCCGTGCTGGCCAGGGACCTCATCCTTGACAAGGTCAGGGAGCTCCCCGTCGTCGGCGGCACCGGCACGTTGCGCGGCGGCATCGGGTATGGCCTGCTCAGGACCCACACCTTGAACGCCACCGACGGCAACGCCGTGCTCAAGATTGACATGTACCTGAGCGTGCAGCAGGCCCCGTCGTATCTAGGTCCTGTTTGGGTCACGAGTTGCAGCGATTGATGGTCTAGAATGCTACCTGGCCTGACCAAACAACTTTGCGTGGGGCACTGAACCCAACAGACCCGTACTAATTCAGGCACCGAATCGTTTGTCTGCGGAGCTAGCACGCGACCGCTCCACGGAGCGCCGCCGCCGCCGCCGGGAGATCTCGCAGCTCCAGCATCCCTAGCCCAAAAACTCTCGGATTTGAGTTCTCCTCTTCAAGTTCTCTACATGCATCCCTTTAGTGTCTCCTCTCGCTGCGCGCACAGGGAGATCAAGAAACTCTTCATCGCAGTTACCGTCGGTCACCATGTGAGCAACAGGCAAAGCTCGTCGCGCTGCACGCAGGGGCCGCTCCCAGACCGGCCGGCCGGCCGCTCGCGGGCGCCTCTCCTCGGCCGGCGGCGCCGTACGGGGGCGCAGCTCTCCTCGCCTGGTGGGCGCCGCTCCCCGGCCGTGTCACTCGTGGGCGGGGCCGGCGGTCCTTTTGCCTTCTCTGCTCGCTGACGGGCAGCGCTGCGGGCTCGTCTCCTCCACGTGTTCTGCGGCTTCTCCGGATCCGGCGTCCGGCGACCGGCGTCAAGCCTCCTCTCCTCCGGTTGCGCCGCCACCG